CCCCAAAACCCCAAAACCCCAAAACCCCAAAACCCCTGGGAATCTCAGATTTATTGAAAGATTTTGCTTATCTAAATTTTCACTGTCTTATCAGACTTTTGACGAATAAAAATGCAACCAATATGTAAAACAATGGAGAGAGCGCTACCATAGCGAATCCTAGAACAGTAGCTATAGAATTAAACTGAGGTTCTTACCTATTATAAGCAGCGGGATCCATATTATGCAGCAAATTGCCGGGCATTTCTCAAAACTAGACTTGCTCAGAATGCAACCAATCACTAAAGGAGTTACTCAAAGAAGTGCAGGGAGTAGTAGTGCAATTAGAAGGTAATCGCTAGCTCCTTTACCATAGTAAGAGCATCCATTAAGGATGGTGAAATGGTCTCCATTCTTATACTCTCCTCCTCAGAGCCAGCAGAACTCATATGCACAGACGTGGCATGTCATATGATTACACCCTTCGTTATTTTTCTATAGTTGTGTCTCACTTTGGGCATTTCTTTACGATGGTCTTATTTCTGAAAGATTCTGAGGCCTTTATCCTTAGCTTTCTTGCAACTCTTAGATCCATGCCAGAGTTCATGGCATTGGATACAGAAGGAATAGCCACATTCACAGGTTGCTTTATGCTTTGTCCCCTTCTTTACACCGAGAATTTGTACATATTTCCCACAGTTAGTTCGTGGGCACCAATAAAGAGTGGGATCCATATCAACTTCTCTCTGATGTTTAAACTCTTCAAGCATATTTTGAACTTCTTCTTTCAACAGGGGCTTCACGAAGCTCTCTGATAGGGGCATGAAGCAGTCTGGACAGGTGTTTATCAACACTTTTGATTTTATCTGGTATGTGAAATGAGTCACAATTCATTCCTCACAATACTTGTGCCCTCAATCAAGAGTTTTATAATCCTGAACTTTACTCAAACATATTGAACACTGGATCTTTTTTACTTTCTGGAAAATAAAATGAAATTAAGAATTTTTCAAAAAAGTTCAGAAGCAACTAGGATTTTTAAACAAAATTTTAAGGGCATGGAAAGTTTTCCAGAAATAAAAGCCAGCTAGAATAAGCTAGAACCCTTAGAATAGTCTATTCTTAAGGGACTAGACTAACTCTTCACAATTTTTGTTCAGCTTTATGATAGAATAATTAAGCAATTGGAATTCACCAATTCATCAGAAGCCGCTTACCTTTTTGGAATCCTCCTTTTCTTTACCTATCTTCGGCAAGCTGATCAGAGATGAGGGCTCCTTGGGTAGGAGAGCTTCAGTTGAAATATTAGTGATCGGTAACTAAACCAAAATTACTTATGAACACAAATTTGAGTTACAGCATTCTGGGTATTATCGATTGCTTTTAATTCCTATATGGCAATTAAAGCTGACTTCATTCTGAATGCTCGCTTCAGGCTTCTAACAACCCAATGGGGCTATTTGTTGGAATTTTTATGAAAATTTGAATCAGACTTACATCCATTGTGGTGACCAAGAAATTTCTATTATTTTATAACATTTTTGGGGTTTTGGGGTTTTGGGGTTTTGGGGTTTTGGGG